TCCACTTGTCTCTTTAAGCAAGCGCGTCCATTTGGTCTTGGAGATGCACAGAAACCCGCTTGATTGCAAGATAGCATATAGAAGCAGTTACAGCTCGTGTGTATTCCATTGTTTATCCGTTCCAATTACCTAAACCGCAGAACTGGTTTTATCTCATGCAGTGTCCTATTTTCAAACAACTACAAAGTGAGAAACATGTACATCTATTTCTTACCTTAAGTCTCTATGAGATTATGATTACAAAAAAATATGTGGTAACATACAATTGGTGTAAAAAAAATATGTTACTTCAACACGGTTAGGATATCTTCTAAAATCAAAAATGTTATAAAATATTGCCCCAAAACACTCAATAATCCGTTTGTTGAAGATTATCTCAAAAGTATGTATATTCTTTTCTTTGTATCCGAATACGCAGTTGGTGGAAAAAGTCTGTAGATCACAGCATATTGGATGTGGGTATAGCCATTATGTAAATAAACTCCTCTTGGTGATTTTGAAGTTAATAACTTATATTTTTTGTGAAAAAACTACAGAAATACTACAGAAATTCATCGCTAGTTATTTTCTGCACTGTTATGTCTCTAGTCAGTAGTAATCATTAATTGAAGAAAAAGTTACAAGATGCACTTGCACAACATGATGAATCTCCGTAGTATTCTTATTGGAAGCGCGACGTAACTTCGCATTTGGCGATAGAAGCGAGCAGACTAATGACTAACTGGGTTGATAGAAACACCCGTATATTTTATGGTGCTGAAACTAGATCGCTTGATCAGCTGGAAAGCAGCTCAAACAAGTAACCTTTAAACAACACAATGCTGCCTTCTGGGCCAATAATCTCGCTTTCATATCGATATCCTGTTTATCGTAACGGAAATTTTGATTTGCAGTCCTGTTCAGTTTTGACTGAGCATGTTTATGACTTACTGTGGCGCTAGTTTAATGATAATATTTATAAGTTTAGTCAGACTTGTAAACATCTGCGTCACACACTCATTTCAAAACATTAGGTACAATTCAGTTCTTGCAGTTTTTTAGCATTTATAGCGGTGCTGCTAAGAACACAGTGATAAGCGTAAATTAATACAGAGTTGCAAGGGCAATCACATTACTATATACGTTGACGTTACTCTTATTTTATTGCATTAAAGCCAATGACATACATACCTACAAGGTAAGCTTAAACTGTATTAGATTTAAAGATACTCTAAAAAGTTACAAAAACTGTAAGCAACTATGCGATCCTTGCTTGGGAAATATACCATTTTAAGGAGCAACACAAACATTAATTTTCTAAATGGATATATTCTGATAGACCTTTTTATACCATATGGTAGTAGTAGCTGATTTCGTAGCTGTAGGAAATTTTGTCCGAAAAATGTAATCTTTAGCAGCTTATAAATCATCGACTCCGGCAGATAGAGAAAGGGGAAATGGATAAAGATAAAAGTACCATACATACCATAGATGACGTCTCAGAAGCTAGATACATTATTCATTTCATGTTCTGTTTTTCCGTGTCACACGTGTTTTTGATGGTTGACGTTTCGAAGATTCTTTGAATTGCAAAACTGTTCAAGGTTCATTAAAACTTCATTAAAAATCGTAAGCATATACACAGCACTCCATTTGAATGATTTTGAGAAAAAGTAGATTTGGTAGTTATAAATACCCTCTACTTGATGATGCACAAAATTATTACAAAGATTTGAATGACGAGGCGATGTGTCTGTCTGCAAAAGTGATTGACTTGAATGCTAGAAGAAATGGTTCAAACTGTACAGTATACAACATCAAACCTCATTTTTCAAAGAAGGCGGAGTATACTAAAGTTTACTGGCCATTCCATTCAAAAATGTCTATTTTGCCACGTTGTTATTCATCGCAATGTAGAGAGCGACATATTTTCCAAACATTGACTATGTTTTTTGTAAATAACTTTTCTAGCTACATCTTATAATAACCAATTTCAATTAGAAATAACGTTCATGTATGTCGTATTGTCATTACCTGTAACTCTGTATTTACTGCACACGTTAAGCAATAAGTGTTTTTTGGCGAACATTCCTCCGGAATCCGTGCGATAAAAAATGTAAGTAAACTGCAGGATTCATACAAAGCACAAAAAGATGTAACAAGTTCCCTCAGAGGGACTGCCTTACGGCCTTCCTTATAGAGAGGCGACACCAGGAATTTGTTTTTTGTTGAGCTGCTTATGAACAATACTGTGTCTTTTAGTGATTCTTGATGCACGTGTTGGGCCTCGAAGAACATATGTCCAAAGGTACTAAATTTTTTAGATCTTAAAAAATTCGTGAATTCTAATAAACATATGTAGGTTGTTGCCTTTTTTTTTGTTACTCAGTATATAAACTGTTTCTGGGCACTCATACAATTATTTTGTAAATCTTGATCCCTTTTATAATAAGTTGACATTCAATGAAAATAAAAGATATCTAATTTTGTGAGGGGTACAAAATTCGGAGTTTTTATTTTGTTTCGAAAATACAAATTATCCATATCAAATTTCGCAATTTTTTGATACCTTAGACTTGTCAGTGTACAGTTGAAATATACATCATTCAGTAAAATGCAATTTCTTTTGAATTATTTATCCATACTTGCAAATCTAAGATAATTCATTAAAACTTGGAAAATAGCTTTTCCTGCACTAATTAAACAGATTTAATGAATATAATCGATATTATTTACTTGTATCAGGTGAACTCATTTTAAGAAATCATTAGTATTAAATAAACTGGTGGTCTCAATCTAAGTGAACGGTTTAATAGAACTATCTAAACCAATTAAAACTTGTTAGCTGTCACATGATTAATCCCTCTAACAGGCTTAATTAAGGTTTTAATTGGTTTAGTTAAGCTTTTTCTCAGCACAAGATACTTTATACAGGTTGTTCAATTGAAAACTTCCCACCACGGATTTATCGAAAACCACTGATTAAAAGAAAAGACGCCGAGACGCGTCAAGATTTATTTTCAAGGGGGACAACTTTCTAACCAAAAACTACTCCACCCCCTCTCACTCTCGCCCCACATTCTCATAAAAATGTTAAATGACAAGGAGTATCGATTCGTTTTCGAGAAAATTCGAAAAATCTTTATTTATCTTAAACAAAAACACACGAAAATATTTTCATTTCAATAAGTGCTCAAAATGTTGCCCGTCAGGGTTTGACAAATCTACAATTCGTTTATAATTTAAAACGGAAACTACCAACATAAACAGCATTCAGGAAGATTAGACGTGGCAACAACCAAGTAACAACCCGGATTTTTTTCCGCATTCTTCTCGTCAACACAGATATCCTGGGTAAAATGTATTTATTGTTATACCTGTTCAGTTATTTGTTGCTAAGGTAAAGAAATAATTTAATTTGCTGTCAGTTACTTCTGTGACAATCTTGAGATAGTGAAAATTAATTTATTGATTCAGATTTTACTTCCAAAATGGTTTACACACTAGCCCAAAGAGTGGAAATGATTCTAACGTATGGTGCCCAAAGTCATTGTGCTCGGCAAACTGCCGTCACGCTTAATGTCAGACATCCTGGGACGATAACTTCGCATAAGTATGTGTTGAACCTTGCTAAATATACTCAAACTGGATCTGTTGCAAATAAAAAACGTTATCATTGGACAGTTTTGGATGAAGCCGCTCAAGTTGAAGCCTTGGATCATTTTGGAATAAATCCTAATGCTTCATTACGCAAAATTGTTGCTGGATCTGGTATTTCATTAAGCTCTGAACGCACAGTTACTAAACTTCATAAACGTCATCCATTCAAAATGAAAATATTGCAAGTGTAAACCAAAGATGATTTCGATAGACGAGTTGAGTTTTGTAAACAAATGACTGCAACGATTAATGATGATACCATTCAAGAGAAAAATGTCTGCTTCAGTGATGAATGCACATTTTATCTAAATGAATTTGTTGTTAATAATAATACTCATGCTTTTGTAGGAAGGTATATCCAATACCCCCAAAAAATTAATGGCATTTTAGGAAGCAAAGTGATTGCCATTGCCATTGTTCATTAATGGGAATTTGAATGGAGACATTTATTTGGATATGTTGGAAAATAACATCAATCCGCTTATCACTGAAACAATTGGAAACCAAATCGAAGAGGACGGAAACCCTATATTTGATGAGGCAGAAATATATTTCCAGCAAGACCTCCTCACTATGTACTTTCGGTTCGGCAATGGCTAGACGATGAGTTTCCAGGTAAGTGGATGGTGCGAAGAGGACATATAGGGTGGCCTGCTAGATCTTCTGATTTGGAGCCATTAGACTTTTTCTATTTGGCCATTTGAAATCTATTGTGTTTTTCCCCGACCTGAAAGTTTGGTGAACTTCATCAACGCAACATCGAAAGCTGCCAAGATATCAGACATGTTTTTGAAAATGTCCGTCAGGAATTTGAACATCGCCTATCATTGTTTGGCCAATAACTGGCAATATTTTGAGCACTTATCGAAATAAAAAGTGATAATTTCGTGGTGTGTTTTTGTTTCGTATCTGAACAAATTAAGATTTTTCTAATTTTCTTAAAAACGATTCGACCGATTTCAAAAAATCAAACGTCAAAATAAAGGACTTCGATAGACCTTTCAAACGAGGTATTACTCCATACCCTTTGTCATTTAAAATTTTTAAGGGGATGGCCCTGGAGGCAGATGGTGAAAAGGGGTGTAGTAGTTTTTGGTTAAAAAGTTGTCCCCCTTGACAAACCTTTTGACGTGTCTCGGCTTTTTTTTTGATCAGTTGTAGACATTTTTACACCATTTTCGTGCTTTATAAGAATCAGAGTGACCTGGTCACAATTTCGTTATAACTCATAAAACGAACCTATTAGTATTGTCGCTAAATAAATCGGTAACGAGTAAATCACTTGATCTTTCAAATATGTAGAAAGCCAACAATTAAGCATAAAACATTCTATAAACCCACAATGTGGCTGCGATATATACCTTTTGATGACTCAATAGCTGGTGCTTCTCCTCTCATCGCCTTCTCCTGCTTGAACTTGTTGATGTAAAAGCTGAGCAGTTGGATGTCGTTGCGCATCGGATCCTCATAGAGGAAGAGATGCGACCTACGGCTGTAGGGCATGCCCCCAGAGTAGGCGGTACAGGAGAGGTGACCCGAACCTACAGATGATCCCAGGACTGAATTAGGATAGTAAATGATATATATAGAGCTAAGCGGAAGCTGGCGGAAGCAGATGCAGATTGGTAAACCGTAGATGCGGCATGCTCAGCTGTGCTACAACCTAGTTGAATTATTGTTCTATGGGAAAATCCATAGAATTTTTTACCAAAGCCACCTCTTAGCAGTTTGCGGGCAGATGTTTTTGTCTTTACCATAGTAGCCAAGACAAAATACAGCAATTTTTTGGCAAGTTGCCAAAAATTCTCACAAAGCTAAATATACCTTAAATACACCATTATCAATAATATGTTAAAATATGTATATATACTAAGTGACATATAAATCCGAACACCCAGTTTAAATGGTTTTGTTTTAATAAAATTTTGTATAAGTACTTAATGAAGCATAATAAGTAAATGATAAAAATTTCAAAATGATTGCACTGCTTTAAAGCCCTTTGACCTTTAATAATGTGTGGATGCACCCTGATGTGCTACGCATTCTCCAACGCGCCTAGGCATGCTTCTGATCAGGTGGTCAATGTCCTCCTGTGGTATCTCATTCCAGGCAACCACCAACTCCTCTCGCAGTGCTTCTAGAGTCTGAGGAGGACGTTGCAAATTGAGCAATCTCCTACCCATCATATCCCACACGTGCTCAATTGGGGGATCGGGGGATCTTGGTGGTCATGGTAACAATGTGACATTATTATGTTGAAAGAAGTCTATTGTGACTCTTGCAACATGTGGTCGGGCATTATCTTGTTGGAAAGTTGGATCTGCCAGGGTGCCAAGATAGGGTAAAAGATGGGGTTCTAGAACTTCGTGGATATAACGCTGCGCGTTCATGTTACGTCTGATGAAGATTAAAGGTGACCTGGAACCATAAGCTATAGCACCCCAAACCATAACTCCAACAGTGTGATGAACATGTCTTTCAACAAAAAACTGTGGATTCCTCCTTTCACCACGTCGCCTTCTAACCCTAGCACGACCATCGCGCATGCCTAAACAAAATCGAGACTCGTCACTAAAGACAATACTGTTCCATTCCTGATCCCAGAGTGACCGTTGGCTGCACCACTCAAGGCGATTACGTCTGTGTTCTCGAGTTAAAGGGAGGACCCAGTGTGGCCGGTATGAAAACAAGCCAAAACTTATCATTCGTCGTTAAACTCTTCGCATGCCAATAGGTCTTCCGTGTTCTGCAAACCATTCATTTGCAATGGACCTGGTAGTGGAGAAACGGTCCCTTAAAGCCAATAATCTTAGGTGGCGATCTTCACGGTCTGTTGTTCTACGGCGGCGTCCAGTGCCCCCTTGCTCTTTGCGTACGGCCTTCTCGAAGCCATGCCTGGCAACACCTAACCACAGTGTCTACACTTCTTTGCACTCTAACTGCAATTGCCCGAAAAGAAAGTCCAGCTTTCCGAACTCCTACTATACGGCCCCTATCAAACTCACTAAGTTGACGAAATCGTACAGGTCTCCGTACTCTAGGCATCGTAACCGATCGTAAAGGATGTCAAGAACCAAAATCCGCCAACATTGATTCTTTACTGCGGCTGAAATATTCATTTTTAGAGGGCTAGTGAATTAAAAAAAAGCAGTATGAAAACCGGAATGTCCAACTGATAAGGATGAACATTTTTTCACTTATTATTTACAATAAGATAAATACATTCACCAACTTTTATTAAAATAAAACCATTTAAACTGGGTGTTCGGATTTATATGTCCTTGGAGCGGAACCTTGTTTTGTTTGGCTTGAAATATCAAAAATATTACGTTGTCATGTATCCCTAAAAGGGAAAGAGATACCACAAAAATACCTTCTCTGTATGTACAAGAATTGTAGAGGATACAATAAATCCTTTTACTTACCGCGCAAATCTGTCATGAATCAGAATATTTAAGCACGCATTTGGAACAACTTCTAGTACAATTATTGAAGAGTGATGAAATCATCGGGTATTAAAAAAGAAGTTCTACAGTTGAAAACAAATGTTTATTTTAGTGTACTACCTAAATGGAATAAGACAAGCTGAAAAAATACTTTGAAGAAGTACAGATTTTGTTACAATAAGGAAAATAACTTCAAAAACCAAGAAACACTCTATGTTTTTTTATGTACAGAAGCAGCCGCGCAGGCAGAAGCCTAAATGCCGGGACACCGCGGCTGCTATGATGATTCTAAAGAAATTTTATTAATACAATTTTTGAACTGTCTAAGGTTAGTAGAGCTGGGAAAAGCTTCCTATTGTAGATTGTTCCACAATCTCGACATCTTCGGGACAAAGGAGCATTCGTATTGGCCAGTTCTGGCTGTACGAAGTTAGACACGGTTAGGATGGGAGGCCACAGTCAGGCGGGTCTATCTGGCGGGCACTTCCCGCGGCGGCATCGTGGAAGAGAGCTCTGAGGAGCAAACCCGCTCTGGACAGCATCGAACATAAATAATGTAGTCGGGGCGGCAGCACCCCAAACGTGTGAGAAATACAGGGTTACGCCTTATCTGGGTCTTGTATGGAGTGAGAAGGTCATAGGGAGAAAAGTACTTCTTAGCCCCAAACAAATAGCTTAGCTTTTTCCAAGCAGCTGTCGCTATTGGTGAGATGTGTTCGTGCCAGGTCAGGTCCTTGGTGATCTGGACGTCAAAGTACAGTACTGTGTTTTTTAAGCATTAAACTATACCTGATTGTTGCGTCACCAAGCAGTAATAACCTCCAGGTCTCAAGTCAGAGAGGAAGCCGCCGCTAGTCTTCTTTTTTCCAGCTCAGCGGCAGAGATCGGAGAAAAGACCGATCCCTAGCGAACACCCGCGTTGGCGTTGTGGGATGAAGAAGAGAACTCGTCAATTACGACGGATATCTTGCTGCCAGAGATAAAGTCAACCTCCCATCAGCAAAGCTTTTCTGGGAGGCCATAAGATGGGAGTTTGCTTAAGAGGGCAGCGTGCCACAGCTGATCGAAGGCTTTCGTGATGTCAGCGGAAAGGACATAAGGCTTACCATAAGACTGGATCAGCTTACTCCACAATTTCGTGACGTAAGCTAGGAGGTCCCCTGTGTATCGCTGGTGCCGGAAACCATACTGCCTGTCGCTAATCAAGCTGTGACGTTTGGTATGCTATTGACAATGGTACACAGACCTTAAAATCACTGAAATTCGAAAATACCTAAATGTGGCACCTAGATGCTTTTGAATTACCACTCTTCAATTTTCCATAGAGGGCAGTGGCATCAAAAAGCCGTGGGTCTTGTGAAAACCAATACTACACCATTTGAGCTTTACATGAAAACAATTTGAAAGTCTGGTGTGAAACTTATTGTCGACAATGTTTGATACCTGATTAGAATTGCTCTTGCAACCTTCAAGCATACAAGTAATGCTGTGTTGCAATTCCATGACAAGGAGAGTGGAAGCATGCATACTACGTGAAGGGGGCCATTTTCAACAATTTTTGTAATTATTTCGTTATTAATAATGTTATGTTTATGTTGTCAGTTGTTGTTGTTGTTCATTACCCCCAATGTGTTTAATTTTTCCAATTAAATTAATAATAATTTTGCAAGTTAGACAATAGAACGGTTTTTATTTTTTTACTCAAAAATGGCGCATCAAAAGTAAACAATTCAAGATAGATCATTTGTTTTAAATTGAACGGGGAATTCAAAAATCATTTTTTTGGCAAAAAACCATTGGCGTGCCATTTTTTTCTCAAAAAATATCGAAGTCAATACCCGTACGCACGCCACTGTTAAAACTAAAAATTATTTTTGCATTGATAAATCATTTTTGGACCATAGATTATAAAGCAAACTAACATTAATTTTTCATGTAGATTCACACTCTTAAAGATTCGCGTATCATTAAGGAACACCCTGTATATAGATAATATCGCACCCCCTCGTAAGTGTCTACCTAGATTTTCTCGCGATGGTGCTACAACTCGAGATCCAGAGCGCCAGTAATGCAGTCATTCGCACGGTTTGATGCAACATTAGAAATCGCCGCGATCGACGACGCAAAAACACCTACACACCTACCAAAATGCTTAACACAAAAGCCACATGGCTCCTAGTATTGACCTTGAAAGACTCGGTTAATGTATTTTTGAAGTCTAGATTAGCTAACACTTTGCTGTCAAGATTGCTTCAAATCTTATGATACATAGCTATGCAACTAATTGGCGACCTTTTTACAGAAGTGATACAGGCTTTTCATGTTTGCATAGTAAAAAAATTATGTTTAGTCTATAGATGCTATTAATATTCGATTTCCGTTTTCGTTTGACTCGAACTTGATTTGTAGTTAATATATGTATTTATATCATTGCTCCAAGTTTTCCTAGCTCACACTATGCAATATCCGGCTTGCAAACAAATCCATACCGTGTTCACTGCACACATGCCTCCAAGCCTGACCTTGAACTCTAAATGCAAGTTCAACTGCGTCGGAAATAGACAAGGAGATAGCGTCTATTTCTAAAAAATTACTTTCAGAAAGAGCTGTTCAGATGAAAGTGAAAAGGAAAAGCCTGCCACATTTTAATTATTAATAAAGTAAGGTTATACGTGGTTCTTTTGTACTCAACCAAGGGTGAACTGTTTTCAGAAGTTGTTAATAAAAACAACACTGAACAAGCATGATTTTCCTAACTTACTACTAAAATATTCGTATTCACCCGGACAAAAAGGATTTACTGGGGATTATTTGTTTATTTCTGGCCCAGTTATGCTGGAAAGTTTTGGAACATTTGGCTATGCGTAACAAACTTTTGTTTATAAACCCGAATGGGGAAAAATTAATCAAATTATTAAAAACTAAAACTACATTTTCTGGAAAGAATTTTTTTTCTACATCGTATTATTTTTCACATGGTGAAGGTGAATGACCCTCATGAGTATTATATAATAAACCTAAAAAATGTCAAAAAAAAACGATGAAATGTCATCCTGCAGACTAGGTAGTTTTCAGTTTGCAAATAATTCATTCCACGTTTGCCAGCTATGATCGGTGTTCGCTTACGTTTAAGCAATATTTACAGCTACGAGACGAGTTCACAACAAGTGTACAACAGCTTGTGCTAAGTTAACATCTTGTAGAAGAACCTGGGTTATGCCACAAAAGACCTACGAAATGTCAAAAAAAACTGACGATATGTCACTTACATAATACCCGTGCGGCACGGCGCATCTACATAAATTGGAGTTTCAACTAATTGAACTTGTTAACTAATCAAAGCTTTAATTTTTTTCTCATCGACTCCGAACATCTGTAATCCAAACACGCATCTTTGACTACACCTACGTCGCCCTCTGACCGACTGGTGCCTGTGTTTAGTAGTCGGTGGTGGTTGCCGTGGTGCTGTTTCTAGCGAGTGACGAGGTTAGTCACAGTTGTCAGATGGTCGGCACCGTCAGTCAAGATCGCAACGTTGTCAATCAGGTGGGGTCTATGGACTAATTGTAGGCCTCTTTGTCGTCTGACTTGATTGATTTTTTTGTTATACATGATCTTTTCAAAAGCAACCTTTTGTCTCAGAGGAGCTCACGTGTGCCAAACATATTTTGTTATGTCAGCGTTGCATGGGAGATGCCGAGTCAACTTACTTGACGCCATTTTTTCTAGTTCAAGTATTCTATCAGGGAGTGAATATGTCGCTATTTCCGTAGCTAAAAGTTCAATCCATGCAAGGAAAAGTTTAGGGGAAACGTCAACGCGTGTTCGATGCATCAACGTGGAAGGCTTTTGTTGCTCCGAAAGCATGAATTTGAAAAATGTTCTCCCTCCCAAGGAAATAATACGCGAAACTCGAACTCGAAGACAGTTGTGTGTCTGGAGAAGTATTACCAACAATGTTGTTGAATGGTTTTGAGTAGGAGGTTTTTGTCACTGCTTTGTTTTTTCAACCAGTTTATAAAAAAGTTCTGGATGGGCAAAATTGACATAGCCACATTTCAAGCTCTTCTGAAAAGTTTGAATGCAATCAGGTGATACCGGTGATTACTCTTAAGAGCGACCGAAAAAGGCTTAGAGTTTTTGAAGCCATTAGGAATATCAGATTGACGGCAATGCCATCGATGTGTTAAAGACGTTACGTTTGCTTACCGTTGAATACCGGGTGTTTCAAATTCAACCCTTACCATTGAAGTAACTTGGATGGGAGCAAAGTTGCGTATTTAGGTAACTAACAAGATACCGCTTAGAAAGTCCCTAAATCCAAACTACTTCTGGAGAGAGACAGAACAAAACCTAATTTTTTCAAAATCGCTTTGAATGTTTCCTTTTATAAAAATTAACTTATCTCCTTTAACTCATTTGTATTCCATGGTTTTTTCTTACTCAAACTGTCATAGTTTCTTGTAAAACAATTCTGAATGCTGCGACATCTTTACAAACACAGAAAAGACGATGTGTATACTCAACCAAATGATCATAAAACTGGTACAATGAATAGCTGAATCAGACAAATGGAGTAACGAAGTTACTGTGGTTGTTACGTTGTTTGACTGGAATTGTTCAGTCATTACAGGGAATAACTGAAATGCTTAGTCAAACGTTGTATTAATTAAACTGTTACGGTGTTTGCCGGCAATACGGGGACTGACTAGGCATTTCAGGGAGTGATGGATTTCAGCGTTTGACGCCGACATATATATGATATAAACAAAGTCAGGAGAAATAAAAATGATTATATGATAAATCTGGTATACGAAACAGATGAATTAGGTTTGGCGATGTTAGTGTATAACAACAAAACAGTGGGTTTCTCCTGGCGAATTCGTCATTAAAAAAGTCATGGCGACAGATTTTGGGATGTATGCGGTACAATTCACATTGGTACCTTCAAAAGGAAATATGGCGATGACTATTGCTCCCTCATCCGCCTTATTCTCCGGGCTTAGCCCCCAGTGTCTATTTCTTGTTTCCAAGTCTAAAGAGATAGCTCGGCGTAAACATATTTGACTCCAACAATGAAATCATGTCACAAATAAATACCTATTTTGAGGACGTTGAAAAATTTAATTTTTTGGAAAAGATCAAATAATTGAAGAAACGTTCGACGAATTGAGGAATAAAATGATGTTTTGCCAAAAACCTGTGTTTAATTTAAAAAGTCACCGACTTATTGACCCTTCCTCGTACGCATCGGGTAAGGAAATACCATGTATGCTTTTTCATGGTAGAATAACCAATCAGAGCCTCCTGTTTCACCTCCAAAGGACATTATTTAAAACAGCATGTGAGAGAGATATGATCCTTTTACTCTCTGACAAGTCATTTAGCCATCTCAAAGATGAGACGATTAAAATATAGTTATGACTACCACAATTTTTGAGAAAACCTGTGCGTCCAATGGTAAGTCTGCTTTTAGTTCTGATCAAAGTATGAGTGTCCATTTAGATTCATCAACTTGAGGTTGAGCTTGCGTTCAGGCAGGGTAAATAATAATGCTGAACTCTTGTCTCAAGTACCTATGTATTCACGTCGAAGTGAATGGATTATTATTTATTTAAAAAGTCAGTTGATGAGTACTGCAATAATTTGATATCGTGGACAGCTTATGGGATTAAATTTGATTTGCACGATGCATGGGGAAAGTACTGAGTCGTGTTTCCCCATATTTTCTAAAACAACTAATACACCTTGACAAGCTGCGTTGCGCTAAATTATTATTTATGAGTTCCACGAACTGGGGGGTACATCATCTGAGCTCAACGACTATGAGGGAACACGGATAAATTCAGGTTCAAAACATTTTTCAAGTGAGCGTACTGGCAGTGTTATTGGGTCTAGATTTCGAATCTGAGCTAGGTTATCTGTAGCCGGCTAAGATAACCGACATACAATGTGTTCTGAAAGTTGCGATATAATAACAAATATAATCTTTCTTAAGAACGCTTTATTGGTTTTTTATACAAGTGAACAAACAGCCTTTTGTTTCCCTAAAATGTCTTCTCATGATTAACAATTTTTAATATGTTCGGGTGTATTGATATGTTTAAGACATAACGAAGGTATCTGTCGTTATCAACAATCCCAATGTCTCCGTCCGATTGTTTTTATAACAAGTTCTATCTTCTCTACGTTCCTTTTGAAACACCTTTTGGCTGCAACCTCAACGACGAAATCCTGATGAAGGCTCCATAGAGAATGCCGAAAGCTTGATTTTATCGTCAAAAGAGTCAATTTAAGCCTAACAGTTTGCCAATTTCTCAATTAACAAATAATTGTATATATATATATGTATATATATATATATTGTCATTGCCAAAACTTTGTTGTTCCAAAAAACTAATTATTTCATATTTGGCCTTGAAAACTTGAGTTATCAAATTTCACGTTTAATTCGACTACATTACCAATAGAAAATTATTCCACTATTTGCATTTGATGGGCATTCAGATAATTTGTCAATTTCAATAGAGGGTATTAGTGACAAAAAAAGATATCATATGGTAACTCACGTAGAACAGTAGTTCTACTCAGTAGAGTCTCTATGGATTTCATTGTTTTTTATCATAATTTCACAAGTAATCAGGTTGTTAACAGTAAAGTATCTACGTACACTTCAATTACATTTATAATCGTTGACGTAGGATCAGTTGCATGTAGCACCTCTGTACCCAGTTCTGTGTTCTATGTAAGAAGACCAAGTGACAGAAGGGTCAAGGGCGTATTCACAGTTCATCGCTTAAAATTGCTTACTTACTCTGAAATGGTTCGCTTAATTTCTTATAGTTCTACCATTTTTGATGTTCATATTATAACCGCTAACTAATATAAAAGTAACATTAACTTTATACGATGAGCTAAGGTCAATTAGAGGAAGATTACTTTTTTAGACATTTGACATTACAACCTGAAATACGAAGTCTTTAATCATGACCTGTTCATAAGAATTGAATGAATGCCTGGTATTATGAATTGTATTACTATATGAGGATTTGAAGGCCAACTATGGAAATTCTCATGGTTTTACAATTAATTATTCAGCAAGGGACGTTTTTATATAACAGTCTCGGAAATTATGGAGGGCGCTCTGCGCTCTGTGGAATCGTGGTTCAGGGAAGTCGATCTTTCTGTTAATGCTGGAAAGACCGAGCTGATCCTATTCACTAGGAGAAGAAGGCTTGACTGGCTGGTCATGCCGGCCTTCTTTGAGACTAGATTAATTCTATCCGAATCAGTAAAATATTTGGGAATTATCCTGAATTGCAAACTGAACTGGGGAGAGTGTGTTGAATACGAGGTTAGCAAGGCTTGCAATTCAATATGGGCCTGTAGACGTGTTGTCGGTTTAAGGTGGGGGCTTAAACCCAAAGTGGTATACTGGCTCTACACGACAATAGTACATCCATCTCTCTTGTACGGCTCCCTGGTCTGGTGGCCTTGCATTAGAACTGAGACAACTAAGGCCAAAATAAAATTCAGCGTTTGGCCAGTATTAGCATTACAAGCGCACTATTGGATCTGGTGTTCCGCGGTGAAGCGAGAGTAGTCGCTCATTGACTGTGGAGTCAGGGCAGCTGGGCTTTTTTGAATCCTGTCAAGGGGCATACTGCCATCTTAGTCGAATTGCAGGAGTGATCGTATTACCCCTAAATATCGCTTCAACCGCAAGTTTATTGTAGAGTATCCAACGAGGGAGGAGTAGGACGCTGGTAGCCGGAGACTCTCCGGAGTGAGCGGGCAGGTCTGGTATACGGACGGCTCGGCCACCGAAGAGGGCTCAGGTGCTGGGGTCTCTCGGCCTCTCGGTGGATACACCACTATTTTGCAGGCGGAAATCTTTGCGATTCTGGCTTGCGTATCTCACATTCTGGAGGAGGGTGGGCCTAGGAGAAGAATAACAACCTTATCCGACAGACAGGCTGTAATGAAAGCACTAAGCGCCTGTAAGATTACTTCGAGTCTTGTATTGCAATGCAGAGGTTCTGGATTGCCTCGCAGCGAGGCATCCAGTATCGTTAATGTGGGTACCGGGGCACGCTGAGATAAGGGGCAATGAGACGGCGGACACTCTGGCGAAGACAGGATCAGCCAGCAAGCTCGTTGGTCCTGAGCCAGCTCTAGGAGTGACCGCGCATAGAGCTAGGAGCAAAATGGAGACGTGGGTTGCAAGACAACACTCTCATAAATGGAGAAGTATCTCGAGACATCTCCGCCAGGCACGGGAACTCATTGAAGGGCCCAGTGCTAACGATGGACGTTTCGGCTTATCTCTGGATAGAGCCAACCTAAGGTTGCTGGTGGGACTGTTGTCTGGCCATAACACGGTAAGGCGCCACCTGCACGTGATGGGGGTGGCTGAGGATCCCTTGTGTGAACGCTGCGGGGTAAAGGAAGAGATCTCGGCGCACGTTTTGTGTCGCTGTGAAGCTCTGAGGTACTATAGGCAGACTTTACTGGGGTCCATTACTTTGGACCCTCAGGACGTCAAGGAGCTTGGATTCAAGGCGATTCTCAACTTCGCTAAAAGGGCGAGGCTTGTGATCTAAGGAATGTAGAGGTTGCCGGAATGCCTCAATTTCAAGATTCATTCATTAATTTAAAATCCAATATAGCAGTCAAGGTGATGATTGAGGACAGGAGACGAAACATAATATTTTGTTACTTTGTATATGAGAGATTAATAATGTTAATGTGCAAATTGTTTCGAAATTCCACCTCAAATAGTCAAAATAGGGGAATTTTTCTGGAAAATTGTCTGACTTCGAATGTCTTGTCGTTTTAGAAATACTTACGGTTAAGCCTGAAATACGAGAACGTTTCATTCTCACACCAGAAATTACTGACATTAGGTGTTGGTGTATGTTGACACGTTGCGTGACACAGTTGTATACCTATTCTCTTTCTTACTCTTTCATCAGCCCATGCCCACTTTATACCAAGAGTTTCAAATTCCGCTCTTATCCGAACTCTCAAATGCAAGGCGTATATGCACTAAAAGCAAATGTTATTTATAATCCCTTGATGGTCCCTATCAAGGTCAAAATGTTTCACACTACCAATACAACACCCTCTGTAAAAAAACTACTTGCCCATTATCATATAACGTATGTCCTAAAAGTTTTGGCACAGAATTAATTGGCTTTAATTTTAACAAACACAAAATAATATCAAGTTGCGTTTGGAAATAAAAGTTTTTTTACTTACGTGGAGATTTATAAATTAGAACAATCTGTCGAATATTCCAGAATGAAAACATTTCACGCAGAACCATTTGTCGAACAATAGCGGAGTGCGAGCAGTTAATACCATGTCTGAATCTCCCTAAAAGTGGAAGACCGCGTGCATTTACTGCACAGTGGTCAGAGAGATTGGTGAGAAGAGCAACAAATCAGGTTGGAATATCAACAAGGAGACTGGCTGGACAATACAGATCTTCTAACGGTACGATATCGATGGAATTGAGGAGGAATGGTTTTAAATATCGAAAGAAGCTTAAGTGCCTCAAATACTTTCAAGCGCACTTCTTTCTTGTACCAAGATGCTATCGTCAGTTAAGGCGGGTACACTTTCCTAATGGAAAGATCATTATTTTAGATGACGAAACGTATTTCACTTTTAGAAATTCTGAAATACAGGGACGACGAATTTTATAGGAACAACGTAGAAGAAAGCCCTGACAACGTTAGATACAAACATAAAGCAAAATTTGCAAATAATATCCAATTAAGACGGTGAATTTACGAACGACTGAGAGAAATTGACCTGAATTCCGTCCAGGACTTTATGAGAGACATTCGGAGAATGTTGCGTCTGGTAGGGCAGAATGGGCCTCTCCACATAATTCGATAGTATAGTTAAGTATTGAGTTGTAATTTATAAAAACTATTTAGTGTTTAAATAAATTTCTTCTTTAAAAAAATCCGATAAATATTTTGTGCCAAAACTTTTAGGAAATACGTTATTTAACTAACACGTTATTTAATATTAACACGGAGTTCACATGTTTTAAGTGGAAGCCATCAACAGCTCTTTATTTTCAAATCGGCTGTTATCCTTATTACAAATTCCAGAACTATTCTAAATTCTAGTTCATATGTAATTGTATGTACAAGTTCTCAATATATTTCATTCACAATTCACTTCTGATCAGAAATTGTAGAAAAATAGCTCACCTTGAAAAGATAATTCAAACACGCAACTCGGTCTTCCATCACTAGCATTTTATTCTTACTCAGATCTGATCTACTTCTCACATTCGTTGCTTACGAGTACAATTTATTTTCAGGTTATTATACTTAAAAGAAACCTTTTTATGGCTGGTCCTATCGCATGAGAACTTTGAATTAACACTTCAGCATAGGTACATATTTCCCATATTACTCTTTTGCTTATAAGCTGTCGAA